CATTCGGTGCGTCCGCAAAGTGTCGCCACCTGGGGCTTCTCAACAAGCAGTGGAGGAAGATATTTTCTCTCGACGCGCCATTGGACGACCGAAAAAGGCGCGGTGGGACGTGCAAGCGTGCTGCAAGACTCATCGCTGCTGCTGCCACAATTCATCTCTGCTGGTGCATTATGGATCTGGCGGCGCGCTCATGAAAAATCTTCTGGAACACGGCAGCGCCGAGGGCGATTGCTGGAATCCGCCTACCCATTGGAGTTGACCATCGTTCCGTTCTTGTAGCACTACTCACTCAGGTGTTGTTCACAAATGCTGCAGCAAAGAATGCTCTCTGCCATTCGAATACAACAAAAGTCAGATGACTATAGGCAAATGTAGACAGGAGTGAAGCGACGCATCCTGGCTAATGTCGCGCTTGGCCGGTGTGGTCCGGCGGGTGCGGGTAGCGATGTAAAATCTTACGTAAGCGCTTACAATCCGCTTGTAAGCCAAGGAATCAGGCTGTAAGGCATCCGTAAGCGACCTCTCCGCACCTACTATACGATCTATAGTACTTTAACTATCTTATACCTATCGATATATCTTAATAGGCTAGCTACGTCTTAATAGGCTAGCTACGCCTTAATAGGCTAGCTATACTATAACGGTAGTACGTAGTAATAAACTATATAGCCTATATTAGCTAATCTAGTAGCTTATACGATTTCTAATAGTAAACTCGTCCTAAGTAGTTTAGTAGATATATTACTAATAGTACTAAAGAAACTAGCGAAAGCTATAAAGATAGCGAATACTATAAAGAAATATATTAGCGATAATATCGACTCTAAGAAACTACTTCTACTTAAGAAACTACTTCTACTAGTAACTCGATACTCGAATAGATACTAAACTATATCTACCTAGCTACTTATCTAGCTACTAGCTATCGACGATATATTTAAGAGCTTTAGTAATAATAAGATAGAAGTAGAATTATTAAAGAAGTATAAGCGGAAGATAATATAGAAGCTATACGAAT